TTTGAACTACCAACCTTTTGGTTAGCAGCCGAGCTCTTAACCACTGCACCACCAGGGTTCCAGAGCAGGTGCTTTACAGTCCCTAACGCTTTTAGAGGTAATAATAAACCTCCCGCATAGCTGTTATCTAGCAGGCTTTGCCCAGGGACCATGGGGGCTTCCACTTCCTCCTACAGAGCTGACGGGGAGGTACTGCTGGGCAGTGTCTTGGGATTTCTGTGTTTGGGAGCTTAAGTGAATGAAGAAGGGCTTCCACTCTATTCTGGGCTCTAGGATTATGGGTTTCTACAGAGAGGTAAAGAATATGGGTCTTGTGATGATTCAAACCTGGGCTCCAACCCCAACTCTGCCACATACTAGCCATGCATCCTTACAGAGCTAAAGTTTTCTTATGAGAAAATAATACTGGCCCCAGAGAACAGTCGGGAGGATGATATGAGGTGTCTGCTCAGGGCCGAGGGCAGTGAACGCTCCTCTCCTCGAATATTGATATCCCTCCTTCCTTCCTCATTCTGCCAGCGAGGAAGTATTTGTTGCTGCTGTTAATTGCCATCAAGTTGGCTCCGACTCATGGTGACCTTGGATATTACAGAACGAAATGTTGCCCAGCCCTGTGCCATCTTCCTGATCACTGGTATGTTTGAGTCCACTGTTGTGGTTATTAAATACTTGCTGAGCCCCCACTATATGCCAGACCTGGTCTGGCGCTGTGGACTAGCAGGTGAGCAAGACAAACCCACCCTGCCCTCCCGGGGTTCACGCCCCTCAGCTCCATCCAGACTCTCCTCTGGCAAAGGCTGGATCTACAGAAAAGTGGGGGCTCCTCTCTGGGGGCCGTTGCCCTTCATCCTTTCAACTTCTGTCCTCAATACTACATATTTTAGTCTCGACCTTCCAGTGACATCTGACAGGGCTTATGTCTCGGTTTTCAGCCTCATCGTCCACCCGACCCTTTGACGACTCTTTCAAGAACTGTGTTCTGGCAGATGCATCCTACTATACAACCTGGTTTGATATGCCTGTGTTTTTGCTTCTGCTGACCCCTCCCCAGGGAAGGCCCCCCCTTCTGGCTCTTTATGTCTCCTCCAAGTCCATGGCTCGGCTCAAACATCATCCACTCCCCAAGTCTCCTACAACCTTCTCCTTGATCCCTTACCCCTAGTCGTCGTTCTTGTTGTTAGTTGTCAAGTCAGCCCCGACCCATGACGACCCCATGTACAACAGAATGGAATGTTACCTGGTCTGCTGCCATCTTCATGATTGTTGGTAAGCTCATTGTTGTGACCACTGTGTATTTTGAGTGCCTTCCAATCTAGGAGGCGCATCTTCCAGCACTATATCAAACATATTCTGTTGTTCTCCATAGGGTTTTCATTGGCTAACTGTAGGAAGTAGATCTCCAGGCCTTTCTTCCTAGTCTGTCTTAGTCTGGAAGCTTTGCTGAAACCTGTCCACCATGGGTCACCCTGCTGGTGTTTGAAATGCCAGTGGCATAGCTTTTAGCATCACAGCAACACACAAACCACCACAGTACGACAAACTGACAGACAGGTGGTGGCACCCCCTAGTTAGAAGTCATCTCTCCTCATCTAAACTCTTAACACTTTTTGTAGCATGTCACCTAACTTTCTACCTTCTGCAATGATTTAGGTTCTGGTTGTGTCTGCCTGATTATTCTACAAGTTCTTTGAGGACGTGATCCAACCTCTTAGCCCTCCTTGTATCCCACAGTGTCTTGCATGTTTTGATTGTTCTCTGAGCAAACATTTGCCAAATGGGTGAATGAAAGGAGGCCCCTGATTTGCTCCTGTGGACAAAGGACACTGGTTGCCTGTGGACGCCCCGTTTGCCAGGGTCTTCCTCCTTGATGTTGCTTGAGAAGACCTGCCTTTCCCACTGCAGTTTTGGCTGACACGTATGTGTTTCTTTCTTCTCTTGGCTTCCATGTTGCTTTGTGCTCTGTCCCTAGGGAGTTGTCTACAGCTGAGTGGCCTCCGTCTTCCTGTTGCTTCCCTTTTTGTGAGGGTCTTGGAGGTGAAAGGAAGGTCCCTGGGTGGCACAAACGGTTTATGCTTGACTATGAACCGAAAGGTTGGTGAGTGAACCACCCAGCGGAGCTGCGGAAGACATGCCGGGTGATCTGCTTCCGTAAAAGATCACAGCCAAGAAAACCCTACAGAACAGTTCTACTGTGTAACACATGGGGTTGCCATGAGTTGCAATCGACTCGATGGCAATGGGTTTGATTTTTTTGGTTTGGGAGTGAAAGAGGGAAATGCCATAGAGCTGAGATGCACCCAAATAAGACATTGACAATTCCTGCCCTGATTTCTCATGGACTGGCAGTTGTCCACTCAGAAAGCATCTAGAGTAGAAATGAATGAGACCGTTAGAACGGAAAGCTCTTGTTCCACGGGGAGGTATTTATTTATTTATTTGCTTGACCACTTCTGAAGGCATTTTTTTCTCTCCCTCTAATGAAAACCTCTCAGAGGAGGCCCTGCTATGGGAGGCAGCCAAGATCTGCCTCGTTAAAATGACATCAGGGCTCGGAGCTGGGCAGTGGACCCAGAGGACCTGCGGCTGCCGCCGGGTGAAGGGATGGCAGATGTGGGTTTTTAATTTGATCTCAAAGTTACTGCGCCATCGGGCAGAGGAGGCTGGAGAAGAGAGCTGCCCTCGCAGGAGACACAGACCTGGAGCGCTCGAGGCTGCCAGTGTCACAGGAAGCCCACAGGAGGGGCTGCGTTTTAGCCATGCTGCTGTGTGTGGCAGTAACTGGTAGGCATCTCCGTCTACACAAGGATGGGACAAACTGAGGCGGTTGAGCGGTTAACAGTGTGAATTAGCCATAGGCTTAGACATCCTGAGTTCGAATCCCGCCTTCACTCCTTGTAGTTGTACAAGTTCTGTAATGTCCCTAAACTCAGTTTTCTTAGCTGTGAAATGGGAACAATGATAATACTTATTTCAGAGGGCTATTAGTCAGGGTCCCAGCAGGAAACAGAGAGTGCACTCAAATTTGGTAATTTAGCAAAGTTTAACAAAGGGACTCTTTCCCGAGGTGTGGCACCTGTAGCCTGCCCAGAGGGACAGCTCAGCGTTCGGGGGTAGTGACAGTGAGGCACCTGTTACCACCTCTAGGCCCAAACGAGTGAGGCAGGAGACGGTGCACAGACAGAGGGGCTGTGTGACGAGGGCCGCCCTACACAAGGTCACAGCTAGTGCATGCAGCCCCCTCCCCTCGTCTCCCCTCTCCCTCCAGGTGCTGCTGCTTCCCTGAATGATCCTGAGCAGGCCCGAGGGTGGGGGCGCCCGCTGGTGTATGGCCCACTGGGTCAGGCTCCTGGGCACAGAGAAGAGGGAGTGGGTCTGGAGGGCCAGATGGAAGATACTCAACCCTGAAAGATTTGTTAAGATGAAATGAGACAGTTTCTGGAAGGTGCTTGACAGGGACAAACTCGAAGTCAAGCATTCGCTAGGCAGTGGCTCTTCATGATGATGGTGATGATGAAGATGATGAAGATGATTACTATTGTGATTGCTGAGATGCCCTCCTGGGTCTGTGGCCGCCCAGCTCTGGCTGTGCCCACACTCGGGGTAGAGGGTGAGACCAGTTGAACTCTGGCTTCCATTTATCTGTCTCAGTGTCTTAGTTTCTTAGGGCTACCATAAAAAGTACTGCAAAGTGTGTGGCTTCTAAGAACAGAAATTTATTGTCTCACAGTTCTAGAAGTCCAAATTCAGGACATCGGCAGGGTCATGCTCTTTCTCTCCACTCTAGGGGGAGGGTCCTTCCTCGTCTCTTCCAGCTTCTTGTAGCCCCAGGCGTTTCTTGGAGTTCCTTGGCTTATAGATGCATCTTCTCTTGCCTTCCCCTTGTGACTCTGTTGTGGGTCTGTTCTCCCCTTTTGTTAGACACCACTCAGAAGGAATTAGGACCCATCCTACTCCAGTATGACCTCGTGCTAATTTAACTGATCACATCTACAGAGAAAGAACCCATTTCCATACAGGTCACCTTCCCAGATATAGGTCGCCATAGCCCAGATGTGTTAGGATGTCAGCATATCTTTTTGGGGGACACACTTCAAGCCATAACACTGAGTATGTGGACAGTGCTTTGGGAGACCAGACAGAGTCGCTATAGGGGGGAAATTAAGACTCTGCTGTAGTCTCCCATCGTCACAGTCTTTTCTCTCTGGCCGTAGGGAAGACACCACCGCTGAGACCTGGCCCCTGTGAGGAGACCCCCTGCCTGACTGCTGCTGTGGCCACGAGGACCCGTCTCTGAAATGAAAGCCATGCCTTGGAACTGGACTTGCCTGCTGTCCCATCTGCTGATGGTGGGCATGGGTTCCTCCACTCTGCTGCCCCAGCAGCCTCCCTCGCTCTCCCAGACGCGGCCTTTGGTCACATTCCGCGGAGAGTCCTCGGAGGGCTTCAACCACCTGGTGGTGGACGAGAGGACAGGGCACCTTTACTTGGGGGCCGTCAACCGGATCTACAAGCTCTCCAGTGACCTGAAAGTCCTGGTGACCCACCAGACAGGGCCGGACGAGGACAATCCCAAGTGCTACCCACCCCGTATTGTCCAGACCTGCAATGAGCCCCTGACCACCACCAACAATGTCAACAAGATGCTGCTCATAGACTACAAGGAGAACAGGCTCATTGCCTGTGGGAGCCTCTACCAGGGCATCTGCAAACTCCTGAGGCTGGAAGACCTCTTCAAACTAGGGGAACCCTTCCATAAGAAAGAGCACTACCTGTCCGGAGTCAATGAAAGTGGCTCCGTATTTGGAGTGATTGTCTCCTACAGCAACCTGGACGACAAGCTCTTCATTGCCACGGCAGTCAATGGGAAGCCCGAGTATTTTCCCACCATCTCCAGCCGGAGGCTGACCAAGAACTCTGAGGCCGATGGCATGTTCGCGTACGTCTTCCATGATGAGTTTGTGGCCTCGATGATTAAGATCCCTTCGGACACCTTCACTGTCATCCCCGACTTCGATATCTACTATGTCTATGGCTTCAGTAGTGGCAACTTTGTCTACTTTTTGACCCTTCAGCCTGAGATGGTATCTCCCCCAGGCTCCACAACAAAGGAGCAGGTCTATACATCCAAGCTCGTGAGGCTTTGCAAGGAGGATACTGCCTTCAACTCCTACGTGGAGGTGCCCATAGGCTGTGAGCACGATGGGGTTGAGTACCGCCTGCTGCAGGCTGCCTACCTGTCCAAAGCTGGGGCCGTGCTGGCCCGGACCCTGGGGGTCCGTCCAGATGACGACCTCCTCTTCACGGCCTTCTCCAAGGGCCAGAAGCGGAAGATGAAGTCGCTGGATGAGTCGGCCCTGTGCATCTTCATCTTGAAGCAGATCAACGACCGCATCAAGGAGCGGCTGCAGTCCTGCTACCGCGGCGAGGGCACACTGGATCTGGCCTGGCTCAAAGTCAAGGACATTCCCTGCAGCAGTGCGGTGAGTCTGAGGAGGGCGCACGGGTGGGGGTGGTGCTGTGTAGAGGGAAAGGGCCGCAGTGTTGTAGACCCCGTGGAGTGTGTATCCCTCTTCCGTTTGGCAGAGGGGACACGTCTATCACTTCTCTGGGCTTCAACAGACTCAGATCATCACCACCTCAAACGTTCTGAGACTGTGACACGGAGCTTGTAAGAGTCCGCGCTGGAGCTAAAACTTAGATTTCCTATCGGAGCACCTTGCTCTGCTCTGCACTGGCTCACTGGTTGTACGAGAGAGTGCTAGGAATAGGTGGGATCTTGTTAAGTAGATGTCATATGTAGCAGGCATTGCTGAAGGCTAGATTATAGTGTGCAGGAGTAGAAGACATGTCCCACCCTTCTTACCCAGCAAGCCTGGGAGTACTTTCCTGGGGGCGTTAGAATAACACTATGAGGGGCAGAGGAGAATGTGTGAAAGCCGTTTGACTTTTGGGGTAGGGATGGAATTCCAAGGGAGTTATGTTTTTTGGTTTTTTTCTTTATATATTTCTATATTGTGATAAAATTATGTACAACACAACGTTTGCCAATTCAACTTTTTTTTTACATGTACAATTCAGCGACACTGATTGCATTAATCATGTTATGCAACCATCACTTGTATCCTTTGCCATATTTTCTGTCCCCCTTAACAGATACTCAGTGCTTCCTAAGCAATGAGGAGAGTTATGTCTGTAACTTGTGTATCTTTAGGAAATGGCCCAATGGGGCAGAACCAGTAGGGAGAGTGTCTAGTGAACATATAGGGAGGAGAAGAGAAGAACTTGCTTGGACAAGGGCTGAGAGGGGGCAGACTGTGTTTATTAAGCATCTTCTGTGTGTATGGTTCAAGGGAGGAGACATGTCTCAGGACAGGAAGCAGCCAGAGAGCAGTGCTGGGTGGCAGGAGGGCTGTAGGAGACCAGAGGAAGGGTAGCATGAAGGGCTGGCTAGAAGGCCTTCCCGTGCTCTGTGGGCCTCATGGAGTAGACCAGACCCCAGGCTGCTGCCTTGCTGGGGGATCCCAGGTGAGACAGGTGACCCAGCTTCCTGGTCTTCCCCAGCGTCCTGGTCTCCCCCAGCCTATCTCACGTGTAACTCAACATGAAAAGCATCTGCCTTTCTACAGCTTGATCCCTGTTCATTGTCAAAATGGTATCTCTTTTTCTCAATCATTCTTCTAGTCACTTGGAAGGCTCAGCTGTTAGCATCTTCAATGCCCTATGTCACTCTCCTTTTCCTTTTTTATGGTCCATTGAAAAAATGATGACCCTACTTTGAGAAAATCTGTCCTATAATCTTAGCTTAGAAAAGAGAAAGGATAGTCCACCCATCAGATAGGAATATGCATTTGCACTGATGTTATTCTTGACTCCCAGTCAAACTTTGGCAGAATTCCGTATCAGGAGATATGTTTGGATTGATTTAAAGAGGTGTAAGTTTTCCTTCATAACATATAGCTATGGCCAAGCCGATCTCAGGGGGCACTGGCACCCATCCATCCAGCGTGGATGAGCCCATTCTTCCAAGTACTAGGATTTGGGGCGCAGTGGAAAGAGAGAGGAGAGTGAGGGAACTCTGCTAAGTTTGCCTTTGGGAGTCTGCCTTTTGGGCTCAGGCTGTTTTCCAGGTACCTGGACAGAAGCTAAAAGATGTCATCCATTTCTGGGGTCCTGAAAGGCCAAGATTGTCACAAAGGAAGTGGGAGAGGGATATGGGCCAAGGAAGGCAGCAACAAATGCGCCAGTCAGAGCCAGGTCAGAGAATGGAGACTCACTCACTGGCGTCTGCTGAACCTCACAGTGACTTCACCTTGACCCCTGGAGCCTTTCATTTGGGGTGGTGGCAGATCCACTCAATACCTATGAGATAGGCTTATGAACTTGGGGACCTGTGGACTGCTCCCAAGTAACTGAAAGCAATGAACAGCAGGCCCACATACACATCTGCACACACATGCACACAAGCGCATGCATACGCACACATGCACTGTTCACATGCGTACACATATGCACACACGTACATGCAGACACACACGCACACACACACACACACACCCACGAACATACACTCATGCAACCTGTGTTAGCAAGGGGCAAGTTTATGCTCCGTGCCTACTAAACAACTGCGAGTCCTTCTGAGATCAGAGGCAGTGGCTTCCTCTGACACTTTCCACTAGAAAACTTCGTCCAAACTCGATCTTTTCGGGCGATGCTTTTGGGAGCAGACTCAGCTGCTGGGATCAGTCGTGGGCAAGTGTTTGTCCTGCCTTGCTACCTGCTATGCTCCCTGCCATGCTCCCTGCCACCACACACAAAGCCAAGTTCATCGTGGAAGTACGCAGAACGGCAGGTCCTAACGCTGCGTGGTCGCCTTGGAGAGAACAGAGGGAACACAGCTTTGGGAGACAGGTGAATGCCAGGCCTGGGAGTAATGGAGCCAGATAACAAGCGTTTGATTTTTCTTTGGGCTTTAATTAGCCCTTTCAAGCCAGAGGCAAGTTCAGGGCCGAGCGCAGAAAGGCAGAGGCCAGAAATGCGGCCCAAGGCTGGGCCGGCTCCCCAGCCAGTCTGAAAAGGCCAGGCAAGCTTTTAACGCACAGTATCCGTTTCCTTTCGCTTGGCTGATGCCCGCGCTGCTCTGCTCTCGCACTCTTGCTACAATTCATTTGGACTCAGCTCAGACCACACGAGCACCGTCGGCAGCCACGCCGCCCTCCCAGACGCCCACACTGGCCGGCCCTGCAAGCCAGCGGGCCTCAACCCCTTCACGAGACCGCACGCTTCGTTTTCTCTTCTCCTCTTGCCTAGAGGCAGGGGCTGGGAAAGATGGACTCTGACATTCTCCTTTGCTTGGGAGTCTGTTTTCCCTTGAGGCCTGTGAAGTGGAAATTGACACTTCCATGGCCTCTGTCCCATATGAACAGGTGATTCCTCTGTAGGAAAGTTGGGGGGGGGACAGGGTCCAGTCTAGGAGGCTGACTTCTGGGCCTATGTTTTACAGGGTGATGGTCCGCATGGGTTTGATTATAGTTAACGACTCAGAGAGCTTAAAAGGGGGATCTGAGCAGCGATTCATTTTTATCATGCTCCTCATTGCCCTAATTCTCTGTGTTAGAATGCTCACCCGTGGAACTCTCCAGGCTTTTCCGGACCCCTCCACTTCCTGGGACCCACGCTGTTTCCCCTGAACTCCTGCCTCCAGAACTCAGAGCAGAGAGCAATGTGACCCCGGGCCCTGGAGGCCAGCAGGGCCTGGGTCATCTGCTGACCCCCTTGCTAGGTCCCAGCATCTCCTTGCGGTGGTCAGCGGGAGGATGGGGTGGAGCAGGGCAGGGAACTCTTGTGTGTCTAGGCTGAATATACCATGGGGCGTCCCTGGAGCCACAGGTGGGCCAGAACCTGGTGTCCAGGAGAAGGGAGAAGCGTTGGGCCGTGAGGCTGGGGCCTGCCAGCCCTCAGACCCTCAGAGAGCTCCTGTTTTTGTTGCAGATGAGTGAGGGAAGGCTGACTGCCCACCTCAGAGAGAAGGGCTGACCTCCAAGAGTGGGTTCTCACAGCTAATGTAAATGAGTGTTCCAAGTGCAAGTCCCTGAGGGAGTGCCGGGTGTGGGGCCTGGGAAAGAGGCCCAGGTGTGTTGTGGGGGAGGGGAGAACTTTCTACCTTTGCCTCTGGGCCATTCTCTTCCTGTGTTCTGGTTTTCTCAAGCCTGAATAGAGAGAGAGATCCAAGAACAAATAGGCTAGTGGCTGAAAAGTACGCTAAGGATATGGGGGCAGGGCATAAGGGGGGTCAGCAAAGGGGCCGCCCGGCCTAGTGGGTCTTGGAACATGGGGGACTACAGATGTCCCGAGGCTGACTTGCTAATGAGCATTCAGGTATTAGTGCTAACGTTTCAGTTCTGGTTTGTCTTGCTCAGCTCTGGGATTATCTCTTTCGTTGGTTCCTTAGGAAGGCTGCCACCCAGGCCCCCTGACACCCTTGTCTGCAGAACCCACGGCCTGGGGCTCTGTTCTGTGCCAAAGTCCTGGGAGGCCTGACTCAGCTGGCCTGCTGTCCTGACCTGGAGTGGGACTGACAGCACCTTGGGGTTCCTACAAAGTCTCGGCTCTCCACCCCCTCCTCCTCTTCCTCAGCCTCCTGGGTAACCTCACAGAACACCAGCCCTTCTGCCTCCAAAAGAATTAGTGAATGGATGACTGAATGGAATATTCCTTAGCTCTAGGAAGGTGCTGGCTGTGCTCTTACCTCTGGTGGATGCCAAGAATCCTGGAATGGCGTTGGTCTGAGGGGCTCCCAGAGCTGAGGAGAGAGGCTCACACAGCCCGTGTAGTGGGGACGACTGCCATGTAATGGTGTGGCCATCTCCCACACCACTGACATCTTCCCTCGGTTGGGAGCCAAGCGTGAGGCAGTATCAGCATCAGTGCTGATAGGACTGGGCTAAGGAGGGCAGCATGGAGGTGGGCAGACTCTGCTTCTTAACCTTCCCCTCAATTCTTAACCTTAGAGTGACCTTCTGTGATCATTAAGGTTGTGCGTCAGCTTGGCTCGGCCATGATTCTCAGTGGTTTGGCAGTTAGGATGTAGTTTGGCAGTTGTATAATGATGTGATCTCTTCCATAATTAGATCTGATATAATGGGATCACCTCCACCATGGGATCTGCTGTGAGTAGCCAATCAGTTGAAAGGGAGTTTCCTTGGGGGTATGGCCTACATCTACTATAGGTGGGCTTTCTGGCAAGGCTTTCCAGCTTTTGCTCACTCTGGATCCTATAGTTAGCTGTTCATCTGATCTCCTGTTCTTGGGACTTGAGCTAGCAGCTTACCAGCCAGTCTTGGGATTCGTCAGCCTCTGCAGTCTGTGAATCAGGGGTCTGCCACCTCACCTGCCGATCTTGGGATTCGTCAGCCTTCACAGCCGTGGGCCAGAGGCCTGTTGTCTGACCTGCCAATTTTGGGTTTGCCAGCCCCTGCAGATA